AGATTTCATGACGCTACAACCCAGAAGACAGCCATCTTGAAGTAAAATATGGCGTATATGAACAATATAACCTTTCACTCACTTGCATCAAGTTGGTTTTCGTTGTTATTAGAGTAATTTTAAATAGTGCGTCTGTGTCACAAAACTCTTGAAAGGGTTCTAACGATTGTGGGTTACATTTCGTAATGATGTTGTCCATCGTTCAGTGTATTAAAATCGAAGCCACTTCGTTTCGGGAGCTGGCTCTGCTCCCGTATTCAGGTGAAAACTTCTACTCTGTTGGGTCAGATAGACGGGGCTGATCTCAATCGCTGGACGATGGACCAGGTACAGAGAAACAACAATACTGAACCTACTGTGTCATGTTTAACACGGCTGATCCATTTGAAGATTGCATTAATGAAGATCGATTTTGGATTCGAGTTTTGTGGTCAGAGCCCTTCTTGAGAAGGATATTGGGTAGTTGAAAGAATGATGTGGCAGAATGCCCGAAATAGAGATAAGAAAAGGGAAACGAAATATGAAAATGGTGGAATCTCTGCGACCCCGCAAGGATGTCGCTCGAGGCAAGGCACTTTTTGGCGAACACCCATGCCTCGGCCAAGTTCTGAGCTGCCGACACAGCTGTAGCAGAACAATATCTCGTAAATTCATCACGAAGTGGCATGGTGGCCCGCACTAGAAAGACCCCCAACCCCCAGCATGAGTGAGTGAGTGAGTGAGTGAGAAATTGCTCGCCAGGGAAACCAATAACAGACTTCAGCCAATTTGTTCCCCTTGCTTTAATATGCAACATCGTGGCATGTAATTATTTCTCTTCACTACATTACAGCCTTCTTGAAAAGTCTCGTCTGAACTGACGACCGGTCGTCAACTTGGGGACCGTGAGCCATGCGTGTGTTTGTGAAAGAGTATGTCATAGTTCATGCCCATTCTACTCCAAGCGAATTTTTAGTGGCGCGCTCTTAGTAAGTGGTACATTTCGTTACCACCTGGCTTAACAGGTTTAACAACGTGGAAAAAATGCCGAGGAGAATGTTGCGGGTCGAACAGGAGGATAGAAAAAAGTTCATAATGATAGATTTCGTAATTTAAACTTCTCATTAAATGTTACGAAGCTATTGAAATCAAGGCAATAGAATGGGTTGGACATGTAGCGCGCATATGCGCGACAAGGAATAGCAATTGCATTCGGAGAAGATCAGTTAGGAGAATTAAGCGTATGTCTGAGTAAGATACTGGGGAGATGAGTAAGCTGCCCTGGTGATGGAGGCAGCAAGTACCTCTGAAACGTCGGTAAACTTCTATCAGATCAAACGGTGCAACAACCCAGAAGACAGCCAGCCATCTTCATAATTAGAGTTTTTATTTTTGTGTGTGAACGTTTAAAAGCATTAATATGTTCTGCGCAATCCCTTTGAATAGCGTGTTATTACGGAAATTAATTAAATATTTTAATTAATTAATTGCACGTTAAGTTTCTACAGTACAGATATAGATCTGGCAGCTCACGAAACACTTCAGAGAAGTTTAAGGAACGGTATTGAAGAACAAGGCTTAAAGTGCAGAGTCTTAAAACTGTGGCAAATTTCTTAAAATTGGTAAAGTTCCTTAATAGTTTGGTATAAAAGTTGAACGGCGTCAGACTGCCACTGACCTGGAAAAGTCCGGGTCGTTCCTGCAGTAGTTGTCAGAAGAGGGCGCTTTATCCTTTTGGAGCAAAACGTGGCGCATATCAAAAACCGTATAACGTAACCAGCTTCACAGTGTTACCAACACTGAGCACTTTCTACGAGAAATTCTAAGACACCAACAACACACACGTCTGAACAACCACAATTAATATTTGGTCTCATCGTCTGGAAATATAATTTCCAGCGATGTAATTCTAAAATTAAATGTGTCTGGGGGGTCTAAAACGCATTTTCAGGTTGAAATAAATGGTCTCTTGTTTCTTAATGATAACTTCACATTTTAAAATGCAAATTTGAATGATAAATAACACAGGTACAATTTCTGTCGTAAGTTTTCTGTTTCTAAACGAATGTAATGTGAAGATTTCCGTCTTCTGGGTTGTTGCGCTGTGTAGTCTGGTCGATGTTAACCAACGTTTCAGAGGTCATACTGCCTCCGTCATCACCCTGATGCAACAACCCAGAAGACGGAAATCTTCATACTCACCGCTGTGAGAACCTCAAGTCTTACGAATGTAATGTGGCTTATGTTTTAGGTGGAGACTCACACCCTTTTGCCTATATACACTTAACACTACTGTTTTAAAATAAGTGCCAGAGCAGAGCTCAGACACTAAAAAGAGTATCTGGGACTGCCCCACTCGACTACAGCTCTGATAATTTGCCTAATGTGTAACTTCTCCTTAATCTTTCGCAATTAGCGTGGTTTCTAAAAGATAGTTTCTTTTTCTACTGAAGAATGGAAAATTGTTTGAAAGGCCGTTCCAAAGTTGAGAAGCTAAACTGATGTTACACTTCCTTCTAGGTCATCCATTTCTTCTGAGAACACGTGTGTAAGCCATTTTCTGGATTCCGCCTTCATGTAAGATGTCCTTGTCGTTTCCGAATTTGGTAATATAAATGTCGAAAAACATATTGTCCGAATGACGATGGACGCGGTATGTTCCTCCAGAAAGTTGGTATCCACCTTCACATCCTCATGGCGTTACAACCCATAAGATCAATACTGACCTGAGGGTGTCACTAATATGAAGTTCGCAGTTCGTTTCTTAATTCGCCAGAATAATACAGGATTGCTAGCCACCTGACGGTTGCAGTAGGTTTGGCAAAAGTCTTCTTCTTCTTCTCTTATTTTATTTAACGACGCTTCATCAAATGTGTAGCTTAAATAACTTAGAATGGGTGAGATTATCAATAAAAAATTTGTAACCCACAGCTGTAACATAAGTGTGTCTAGCGTAAAAACTTCCCTATTTAACTCTAATTTCATTCCGACATTTTCGTATTAATTCTACGGAACACCATTAGTGCCCTTGCCAGGAACCGAACCTAGTCGCGCTTTACTGATTGGCGAACTGTAAGGATGGATTCAGCTTGCGTTCTGTTCGAAACTTAAGATTACCTGACACAACAGAAATATAAAAGCCCTATCAACCACAACAAAGAACGATATAAATAATTTGTTATCTTTTAACAAATGTTCGTATGCATATAATGTAATTACCGAGAGATGAATATATTAAACCTGTAAAACGCAAGTTAAGGAATTGGTAAAATTAGATTAGTAGCTCAGAAATACAAGAGAGGACAGAACCATTTCTATTATTACACTTCATTTCTGTTACAATATACAGGGTGATTGAAAGCTGAAGTAGAGTACTTAAGGAGGTTATTACGGAGGTATTTTGGAGTAGAATATAAAAACAATCAAATTCCCCACCGTTTCTAAGTTAAAATGATTTTTTTACTTTGAAGTCGCTTTTATTATTCTGATTGTCGATTTCTACAAAATGGGAACAAGGCCCGATTATAACTGTCTTCTGGGTCGTTGCGTCGT